GGGCCACGGGCATGGATTTCCCAGCCCGTAGAAATGCGGGCCATTTTGGCCCGCCCCGTTTGAACCGCGGGCCAGCGCGGGCCGGATGGGACTGGCCCATTTGACACTGCCAGCTGTAATACGAGAAACAGTTGACAAATAATTTATACATAATTATAGAATTTAATGGATTTAGTACGATTTATTTTCCTTGATAAAACCGACATCCATTTTACACGCTCACTACACATTTACTCTGTCAACCCCGCAAGCGTAATGGCCAAAACCGAAATACTGCCATTAGTTGGTAGAAGCCCCCACAGCGCCAGTGTCGCTGCACACAAGGGATTTAGTTCTTGCCACAGAAAAATGTCGTCGATCTCCCGTTCTGTCGTTGGCTGGAATTACGAGATACTCGAGTGTATATTTTATGTATTTTTGATGTATAAGTGTGTTCCGATATGGTGCTGGACTGAATTACGAAAAACTCGAATGTATATTTTATGTATCTTTTATGTATATATATGTTATACCCCGAGTTTTATTAATAAAGAAAAATACTAGCTTTTAATTTTAAGCTAGCCTTTGTTAATAAATAATCATGTTCATGTTCAAGTTCAAGTAATTCAGCCAGCCAAATTCCAAGTTCGACTATTAGTCGATATGTTATTCGGTTTAATTATCCGAATGAGTTTTCAGATTTAATTCCGATTCATTTAATTAGTTAATGAGTTCAGAATTAATAAGCCAAATTGACGAACTATTCGAAATATTAATGTTCGGATTAATCGTCTAAGTCAAGAATATTCGAATTAAGTTTCGAATGTCATATTTATGTTCGGAATAATTTTCCGACAGTTAATTCGGTTAAAGTTCCTTATGTTAAGTTCGGTTTTCCTATACTGTGATGCGTTCACATTAAGTACACCGTCCATCATTAATTAAGTAATAGTCATTAGACTTGCTTAATTAACTTAATCCATGTTTAAGTTAATTAATCATAATTACCTTAAAGTAATCATGATTAGCTTAATGTTAATAACGATTAATTAACATTAATGAGAATTAGGTTAAGGTTATTCATGTTTCAAAGTAATCATGTTTATCTTAGCATTGAGTATATTTAGCACGGCCATTAGTGCGCATAAGCACGTCCTTAGCATGTCTAAACCATGCTTAATCGAACTAATCGACGAAAGTTCAAGACTTACCAATCTTCACGTACGTCCTCGTCATTTCATGGACACATAGAGGCTGGTGAGAGTAAGGACACAATGACTAAGCTTGTAGACAGATGACTAAGTCCAAACGCCACCCTTTGGCCTAAGTCGTGCGACAAGTGGTGCTCGGCTATTTGCCGAGACTTTTTCCACCATTTTCCCCACCGTTCAGCTTCTATAAAATCTGATGTTGGGGAGTAAGATAGAGCTTATTATATAAGCTATACGTTCAGCCATTAGTTAGTATAAACTAAGCAAGTTTAGACTCATAAACACACGTACACGCACGGTAGTGAGGGATCACGTTTGTTCGTGAGGTTACAGCCGAACAGTTAAGAAGGTAATTACATGTACAACATCCTTTCATGTTAATAATATCATGTTAAGTTCAGTTTAATCATCTCATGTCAAGAAATGCAAGGAAATGTCATAAAGGGTTCAGTTTTGGCCGTGTTAGGTCATGACCGAGTGATGTTTAATTTTACCCGACATCTCCTGTGCAATCCATGTCTATTTGATCATGTTATGTTCTTATAAGTTCAGTTTAGAAAGATAGGTCGAGACAAGTTGTGGTTTTGTCCATGTTTTGGCCTAAGCAAGTCGGCAACGCACGTAGCGTACGCCCACGGGCTATCTTATGCCCTATCATGTTATCTTTCAGTATGATCTTATTTGTCCGTGCAATTCATGTTGAGTTAGTCATGTTAGATCATTTTATAGTCCGATATGTCAGGTTGGTCGGAGGAATTTCATGTTTAGTCGAGGAATCGGCTTAACGCCGAACACGGGCGCATGGTGCGCACGCCTCGACACCGTTTGATGCCACCAGACAAAGTTTATAATTTTTGAGTGAATTCAGTATACAAGATCATGTTAAGACATAATATGTTGGTTCGGTCGAAGGTAGTCATTAAACGGCCGGCAAGGGCCGGTCGTGGCTGAGCTGTCCGCACTTAGCGGCAGCAACACGCCAGCAGCCAGTCAGTGCAGCGGACAGTGCGCAAGCACGCCTAGTCGGGCGTCGCGCGTAGCCTCTGTCCGCAGCGGTAGTCCACTGGCAGTGCATGTGCATGCCAGCTGTGCACGGTGCACGCCAGTGCACGCAACCATGCACCCAGTTGCATGCTGTGACGCTTGGCAGCGTCCAGCAGCGCACGTCATGTGCATGCCTGCGCACATAGCGCACGGCAGCATCCAGCCCGGTGTCTGCGATGTGCCAGCGCACACCCGCAGCGTCCAGTTGCACGTTGGTAATGCCAGCCGTGCCCAAGGGCACGCCAGTGCACGTCAGCGCGCATGTCCGTGGTCTGTGCCGCACCGCAAGCCGTGCAGCAGCCACGCCATGCCCAGTTCATGCCCAGCCGTGGTCAAGTGCACGCAGCACCCACGGCCATGGCCAGAACAGGCCCTCGGCGGCCATGCACGTACCAATCCCGCCAGCAGCCGTGTCCATAGCCTTGGCAGGTTCGTTGGCCGAATCAGTCACCGACCGACCGGTCCGAGCAGACCGACGGTCCGGCCAGACCAGTTCAAAGCAGTTTAGACCGGTTCCTTCATATTTTATTTTATTAAGTCCCAGTTCATGATTTCAGTCCCATTTTCAGTTAAATTTCGAGTCCAGTTCAGTTCAATAAATTTATGTCAGTTCAGTTCCGAGTTTAGCCAGTTCCAGTTATATCATGTTTAAGTCCAGTAGAGCATCTTAACATATTAAACAGTTATTTTTATCAGTCTGAGCATAGTATTCAGTAATTGTTTATATTATTTTCCAGTTTATTCAGGATCCAGATGATCAGCACTTACATTTTCAAACCAGCAGTTCAGGTGGGAACTCAGACTGGGTATTACATTGATTATAATTACTCTACCATGCTCAAGGTATGTATATGAGTTATTCCACTTAGGGTTGAGGCGCAGTAGCCTTAATATGCCATCCTAAGTTCTGGTGGAGGCGCGAGACCTTAATCCATCAGAGTGTGCACATGGCGGACATAGTGTCCGAGGAGGTTCAGTACAGTTACAGACCTTGTGTCAGGAGATTACAGTTTACTTATATATACCTGCAGTCATGATATTGATATTATTATTAATGTTTACTTTAGTATGAGTTTCTGCGGAGTACAGTGCCTTTAGTACTCACGCTCCCACTATTATCATGTTTTTCAGGTTATGAAGTCGGGACGGAGGAGTGAGATGACGGAGCTATTCGGGACTATGCTTATAAAGTTTAAATTGCCTAAGCTTTATGCTTATAAAGCTTAAATTATGTTTTGTACAGTTTGAATTTGGCATAGCAGTGCTGTTATTATTTTCAGATAACTTGTTTTCACGATCACGGTGCTGCTATCCAATTTCACCACTACAGTTTCCGCTGATGTTTTACTGTTCGTCTTTCTTAGTCAAATAAATCAGTCGGCGAACTGTTAGTTGGTTTTTCAAAACCAAAAGTCCAGATTTTTCAGTCAGTTATGTATTTTAGTAGCACTCCGAATCAGTATTTCGCAATGTAAAATGTTTTATTTTGAATATAATTGCGAAAAGCGCGCTCTGATTTTCATGTCAAGGCGGGGTGTTACAATATATGTGTCGTGAACTGTCACTGGATTGAATTACGAGAAACTCGTGTGTATATTTTATGTATCTTTTATGTTTATGTGTGTCCCAATCTGTCGCTATGAATTGAATTACGAGAAACTCGAGTGTATATTTTATGTATCTTTTGTGTATATATGTGTCTCGAACTGTTGTATTGAACTACAAGAAACTTGAATGTTTATGTTATGTATCTTTTATGTATATGTGTGTCCCGAACTGTCGTTAGGTTGAATTAAGAGAAACTCAAGTGTATATTTTATGTATCTTTCATGTATATGTGTATCTCGATATGTCGTTGGATTGAATTACAAGAACTCGAGTGAGTGAGGCAGCCATTTCCAGCCCAGCCGAACGAATAGGATCCAATATAGTAGCCCACATTGCAAGCTACTTTATGGTATCAAAGAAGCAGGACTACCAAAACAAGGGGTATTTCTCTCGCCTTCCCCCAAAACAT